CATTCTAAAGGTTTCAATATTTGAAAGGGAAGAATTACTAAGCTAAAAGCTCGAAGCTTGTTGGGCAAATGAACTGTTAGATTGTCCTGTGGGAAGCATGACTAAGATTCGGGTTATAGAAGCTGATCAAAATGAAATTGCTCTAGAAGTGATATGTGCGTCACTTATCTCAGATCCTATTCCTAAGACGCCAACAGTTGCTAACTCGAAGCCCATCATAGATGGATAATGTTTGATCCTCTGAACGACTGGAGAGGCTCTGACATAGTCACACTCTCAGAGTTGAGTTATGGTAACTAGATGTCAACCTCCTATGTTATTTTATTATTATTTATTTACTTATTTTCTTGATGTCCTCTTACTTCACCTACCTTAATCTTCTGGTACCTTACTGTAGAGAAGTCTGTTGATCAGCTGCTTGTTCCCACAACTTTCCTTAAGGAAAACACTATGGTGAAAGTTGGGGAGATGGAAGAATGTGCAGCAGAACCAATAACCAAAACTCGATTACTCGCTAGTGAGCTCGCCCCTAGAGGTAATACCGACTACCTGACATTTGCCGAACTAACAATTTCATAACTCATGTTTTTTTTTGCACTCACAAATAAATTGACCATAATGAAGCTTGACATAGGTGAGGGTAGTGTCCGTGCCATGAAAGTGAAGCTCATTTCTTATGAAGGACCTCTTCTGGAGGAGGAGCTAGTGGCCACTGTTGAAATTAGATCATCGATGACAGAGCTCCTAGCCACTGTTCTAACCGCTCATGGTGCTGATCCTCTGGACCATGAGAATCATTTTAGAAATGAGTTCGTATAAGCTCTCAAGGAGATAGAGAAGGCCCGAGAGGAGCTCATATCAATTCAGAAGGAGTCAGTGACAACAAAGGATAGGGTGGCTCAAGTTGAAGATAGACTGCTTGAAATGTAAGACCATGTTATGGATTTAGAAGATGACCCCTTGAGAGGTAAGGAGCACATCCTCATTTTTGGAAGTTAAGTTTGCCCGAGCTTAATGGATACTCAAGAAAATCGTACGAATTAGAGGCGAAATCTACGTTGCTGCTTCTTCGACAGCGAGTTGGATTGCCCTAATTCGGGCAGTTCCTTGCAGGAGGATAACTAGTTGTGACCAGGCTTTTGAAGTATGGTAAGATATATTTGAATGATGTAAAAAGCCATGATCTTGGCCTATTTATGAGGGACAATAATTATATTTTTATTTTTTTCCTTAAATCTCTGTGTCATACTATATGATGTTCATTGTTTTGAACTTTGATATATGGAGATGGTGCATTTGATATCCTTAAATGTCATGACATGGGTGCATTTACTTTATTTTGTTTTTCACTTACCTTTTGGTTTTCAAATGTTCTTTGACCTATTGCCCTTTCTTGTTTTACATCATATTTTTGTTTTTACCCTCGCGGTCATATAAGAGAGTATTACTGGTTCAAATTTTGCATGTCTTTTCAATTTCTTGCTCTCTTCCTCAGCACTTATGCTTCGTGTCTTAGTTTTTTCTCGTGACTTCCCTTCTACAACCATAGCAAATCTCGAGGATTCCATTTTGGAGTCGGAGATGGTTCCACGACTATAAGGAATAGTAGTAAGAACTTTCTTGCTATGAAGATGTCTGATGGGTTATGTTGACCGTGGAAGCTCTTACCACAATATAGAGGGACTGCATTTTTGATAATTGTTATCTTCTCCGGTTGCCTCAGGAGGATGAAGCACCTAACACTATGCGTGCATATGAAGGGTGTTCTTATCAAGACCAATTTTGGCTTAGTCTTTGCCTCCCATTATGCGAGAAATTAGTGGCATCCTCAATTTTTTGGGTTGGTTCATGCACAAATTCACTCAAATTTTTTGGGTTGGTTCATGCACAAGTTCACTCAAACTCGATAGCCAATGTGTTGTTGGTGATATTATCTTCGAGGTCTAAGAGGTTGTTTTGGTTGGTGAATGTGATATGTAACTTCCTTCGCCCCAAGGCGTTTAAAGACGAGACTATAGTGTTTTCTCCTATGAATGTATTAATGGAGAAGCTAGAGAACAACATTCTTGATTGGGGAAAATATTTTGCTTTGTCCATTGCAAAAGCACTCAAACAATTTTAACAACACCCCAATTATTCATTGAAGAGATGCCCCTAGTCATCATAGATCTGAGCTCAGAAGAGCATCATAGCTCACCATTCTGAATGGTCTAACGCTTGAATGCTGAATTATTTATGTTGGCAAGATATGTGATGACGACCTTATTTGGTATATGATACTCGCACTTGCATACTGATAATGTTATGATAAGTTTCCTAGTATCACTCTAAGTATTATGCATTTGATTTTAGGAAAAGCATTGCGACCTCTCGACAAGTGGCCAAAAGATTAGAAGTTAGTGTACACAAACCTTTCAAAGGGAGATGCCGAGTTTCCCGATTTCTCGAGCCCACTAGCAATAACAACGATAGAAGACGATGAGGAGGGAGATGTGAGTGTGCTAGCTATCGAAGAAGAAGAGGATAAGGAGGATAAACTTCCTCTAGCCGGCCCTGAGCCAGCTGTCACCTCCCAAAAGAGCCCTTATGGGTGGTGGGCAGCCCAGGACTTAAATACTGCTTTTCGGCCCTACACCTAGCCAATGTGGGACTATTTGTCCGTGACATTCTCCTCCACCCAATCACGTGACGCCCTCGTCACGGATCGGCTCCACCGAGGGGAGAGTCCACAACACACCTGGCAGGCAGTAATCTGATTTGATACCACTTGTCACCTCCCAAAAGAGCCCTTATGGGTGGTGGGCAGCCCATGACTTAAATACTGCTTTTCGGCCCTACACCTAGCCAATGTGGGACTATTTGTCCGTGACACAGCGCTCATAAGCAAAGGAAAAGCTGTGTTAGTGGAACATACACCCTTCATAACTTGTCCTTGGAAGAGGAAGGTAGAGGAAACACTAGATGCTAGCGTGACTTCTTCGGGAGCAGCTGCGTTAGGTTTCACATGGCAGGAGTTCAATATGGGAGGTTGCCTCTCCATGACTAATGAGGTTTGAACCCATGCACTGGTGGACTACAGTCAAGATTGAATGAGAAAAAAAACTACAATGAGAAGCTCTTCCAGTGGGCCAAGTCATCCCCTCCGTGAAATTGGAGAGGTTCGCAAAGAGACGGGAAATGTCTTCCTTCCACGCTCCACTGATGGAGAGTCTAGCCATTACCTTCTAGTGGGGGTATACTATAAGATAATCACACCATGATTTTCTCAGGTAGCAATGCTAAACTGAAGCAAGCTCGCTTGAAAGCCAATGAGAAGGCAAAGGCTTCAAAGAGAGTGAAGGAAAAACTACAAGTTAAGCTCGTTGAGGTTGCAAAGCAACTCGCTTCCCTTCAAGCACAAGTAAAATAATTGGAGGAAAAGAAGGCCAAGCTCTTCGATGAGCTAAAGGATTGTCGCTCTCAAGATGTTGCTCTTGGAGATGTGTTGTCCAGGTTGAGGGAGCAACTACATTACAAGGAATGGAATTCGAGGAGCATAAGCAAGTATCTAGACTTTTGTTCCACCAATATGCAGAACTTAAAGAGGAGATGGAGAGAAAGATCACGACTTTCAACGAGCTGAAGAAAAATCTGAAGTGGATGTTGAGAAAAAAAGAGAAATCTTAGGAATGAGGTTGCAAAATTGAAGAGGCAGCTTTAAGGGAGGAAGACACGGGATGAATTCTTCAAGGAGCTTAATTAGATGCCCAAATATGAGAAATTGTTGGCGGAACATTAGGAGAGGACAATTAAATCCTACTTAAATACTATAATGCAAAAAGAGGTCACGCCTTCTCACTCTTCTCTTCCTCATCTCTTCATCATCCGAGGATTCTAGGGTCTCCTTTCAAAGAACATACGATACGTCATTATCATCATCATCTTCCTCCTCTAGATAGCCAGGGCTCTCCTTGCTCTGGTTCACAGTAGTTCTCCTCTTAGTAATTGATGTCTTTGCGATTCTTGTCTCAACGCCACTGATCCTGATGATCCTGTGCAGCTTCTCAAATAGTTTTTGGAACAGTTTTTTAACATATCCTACCTTCTTTTACAATCGTTTGTATTTTCTGTCTTAATTCATTTATTTGTTGCGTCACAAACTCTCTGGTGTAATCTATCGTTGTCATTCGTTTTCCTCTGTCCAAAAGATCTCCTTACTAGATTAGAGTATGAATTTTACGCTCATCGCACCTTTCAGGACTTTTAGAGTGTATAGTCTCGTACAATCTATGAATTCACACAATCGAAGAGAGATCTTGTGAAGGAGGCAGATGGGAGCTGAGTTTAGGCGTGTCTTTCTTAATCATGACAAAGAAAAACGTAAGATTAGAAACTCATGCTTCTCCCCTTTATCTCGTATTTATACATCATAGAACACTATAGGCCGCACTGTATGAGACCCATCAAAACCCACCATTAATAAGTTCCTCAACATGAATGTTAGCCCGTCAATAAATAGATATTGATGGTGATGGAACGTCTCCTTTCTTCGTCGAGTTCGGTGATACAACTGAATAGATATCAACGATCTTGATAGGAGAGCCTTTTTGGGTGCGGGCAAGCTCGGTGAAAGGGCTCGAAGAGCATGAGCAAGCTCAGCTGGAGGAACTCGCCTGAATACGTAAAAATGGCGAACTCAGTTGGAAGAACTCACATGGCTGCTAACAAACATAAACGAAAGTATTCGCTAGGTCCTTCTGAGCTACAAAAAATCCTATAGTTTGTCATCTAAAAAAAGTAGAACTAATGAGTATAATTAGTCTCGTTAGGGTCAAGACAACCCGTGCATGATTAATGAGATCGATTCATTAGGCCCATTTAATATTTGTGCTACCCTATTGCTAAGGAAATTCATTTTTGGACACACACACACACACACACACACATTAAAACTCATAAAATAAACCATCAAAATTAGTACAAAAATAGGGAAGTACTATAGAACAATAGACATTTCTTTCAAACAAAAAAAAAAAATGTTATGACACAACAGTCCTCTTCTTATTAGATGCTGAAAAATTAAATTACATCTTACAACCCCTGCTCTTCCTCCACATCTCTCTTCATTACTTAGCATTTGTATGAAGAAAGAAGAAACCTATATAACATTAAATCATGTACAGAGTCCAGAAAAATGAAGCAATTTGATCCATAAAAATAAACAAAAAGGAAGCTTCCATATGCTTATACTTGCCTTCCGCTTCTTGGAAACACACCCAAAAGCTTACCTTTGGACAAGAGCTCACAGAGCTTCTTGGCACCTTCAAAGTCCATGCTCTCAAGCCGTGGCAACAAGCCACGAGCACCAGAAGCCACCAATAACTTCCTGCAACGCCTGCTCTGTGCCACCGCCAGCAATACTGTCACTATATGCTTCTTCTCCACATTGCAAACCGAGGAGTCCAGCAGCGTGATGAGAGTGAGAATTCCCTTCTCATCCTTCCTCATCAATCTCCTGCAAACTGAAAATGTCATCAGCGAGGCCAAGGCTTTCACCGCCGCCACCTTCTCCTCTGCCCCTTTGGCTTCCAACGTCCTCACAATCTTTGGCATGGCGCAATCCAATCCGTCCTTGTTCGTGCAGACGAGGGCTAGTTCAGAAACAGCACTCATCGCCTCTGTTCTTGTTCCGGCTGATGAGCAATCTAGCGCGAGGATTATCCTAGAAAGGAATCCCGAGGAGATAATGATCTCAGAAAAGACAATGGAAGATGAGAGATTGCGGAGCAGCCTAATGGCAGGCTCGAGGTCTCGGTTGTCCGTGGCTGGGGCTTCCCAGTAATTTCTGAGGCAATCCAGAACGCCTTGTTGGACAAGGGCGAGCTTTATGCTATGGTTGTCTTCCCCTGCGGTCAGATTGCATAGGCAGGAGGTCGAGTTTTCCCGAGCAAGAAGAGTTCCTGATTGAAGAACTCTGATAAGCACGGGGACTGCGTTCTCCTCGATCAGGTTTTCCCTTAGTTCCGGCACGGCGGCGAGGTTTTTCAGAACACCAATGGCAGCGGCCTGAGCCGAAGGAGTGCCGGAGCGGCATGTTTCGAGAAGAATAGAGATTGTCCCCCCTGAGCCGACGGTCATAGCAATGTCTTTCTGTAGGGTTAGTGTTTGGAGAACAACGCAGGCCTTCTCTTTTGCAGATCCATCGCCGTCGGGCTCAACGAGAACACGTGAGAGATGACTCACGAGAAACGAGGCTTCAGAGACGAGCAGATGGCGGCAGCTCTCCAAGGAGGAAACCCTAGCAATTGCCGCTACAGCTTTCTCCCTCGCTTGAGAATTGGAAAGTGAGGCGCAATCGAGTAGGCGAACCAGCGCGGGAACCAAGCCCTGCGTGGCGGCAATAATCACGTTCTTGTCATCTCCATGGAGCATTAAAATAAGTGAATCCAGCGCCGGGATCCGCGACGCCACGGTTCCGATCTGCAGGCGGGTGATAAGCGACCGGACCTCCGTTCGCAAGGCTTCGCGGCGGGAGGAAGAGGAAGGAGAAGCAAAAGGGTCGACAAGGGCGCCGGAGCGGAGAAGAAATTCAGCATCAGCAGCGTGCTGGTCGAGAGAAGCTGCCGCAGCAGCGAGGTCGCTCTGAGTTTGGAGTCGGCCGGAAGGAGGCTCGAGGTAGCGGCACTGGTGGGAGATGGATAAGGTTAGGGTTAGGGTTTGAGAAAGGAAGCGGAGGAGGTCGTCGGAGAGATCGTTGGCTGGGAGGGCGGGG